AAGAGGTAGAAATAGCAATGATGAGAGAATCATTGATCGGCTGCCTCCTGCACGCCTCCTACTAGGGACCAAGCCCCCAAACCCGGACATGTGCCCTGACCAGGAATTGAATCCGGGACCCTTCAGTCTGTAGTCCAACGCTCTATCCTCTGAACCAAACCAGCTAGGGCTGTACATCCTTTTAAAATTTATTTGCACACACAGATAAAATAGTAGCTGACATTTATTTATAGCATTCTATATGCCACACACTGTTCTGAATTAAGTACTTTACATGAACTACTAATTTAATTCAGGAATCTTCTGAGGTAGATTTCACATTTAAGGACACACAGTCTATAACAGATACAGGATTCAATACCAGGCTCTCAACCCTTGAGACTGAGAAAGGAAGCAGTTAACTGTTACCTTAAGAGGGAGGAAGGGAGTTTATAAGGAAAAAAGGGAAGCAAGAAAGCTACGGTGTCAGTTGGGAGTGCAGAACAGGTGGAATTGGAAGGTGGAAAGGAAGATTTTTTTACTTTTAGGCAGATCTTTTATAATGAAAGAAAAAATTTATAAAAGGTTAAAACATTTTTATAATTTTGAATTGGGAATGAAAATTTTAAACAAAGGTTCTGTGACTAGCTTTGTACTTGCATTTTCAATTATATATTTTTTTAAGGATAAGTTCCCAAAAGTAAAATCACTGGGTCAAAGGATTCAATCTTTTTAAGGTTCCCATACTGCTTTCTAGAAAGATTGTGCTAGATTATATTCCTACCAGTGGCCCGGTGCATGAAATTCATGTACGGGGCAGGGGGTGGGGGGGTGTTCCCTCAGCCCAGCCTGCACCCTCTCGCAATCTGGGACCACTGGCTCCTAACCACTCACCAGCCTGCCTGCTTGACTGATCACCCTTAACCCTCTGCTGCCTTGTCTGATTGCCCTTAACTCCTCTACCTGCTGCTTGCCTGATCACCCCTAACCACCTCTGCCTGCGTGCCTGATCGCCCCTAACTGCCTCTGCCTCACCCCGCACCTGGGACCTGGGCTTCCCTCCCTCTGGCCAGTCACAGGCACCTGGGACCACAGAATGTGCAGCTTGTCCCTCTCCTGGGCCACAGGCAAAGGTGCAGCTGCTGGCACCTGGGACCCTAGAGTAGGTGGGTTGTCCCTCTCCTGGGCTGGAGCCTGGCTGATCCCCATTCCTCTCTCCCCAGCCTGAGTGTCTGAGCAGTTATGGTGTGATGACATGAGGGTATGATAACTATTTGCATATTAGCTTTTTATTATATAGGACTTTAAACCTACCAGATTTGAGGTCCTGAACCTAACTGTCCCTATACCTGGGCTCCTGAGCATTAAAGAGAAAAAAAATCAACATGATATAGAAAAATGTTAATTACATGCAAACAAGGGGTTAGAATAAGATGGGACTTGGAGACATTGTAGAAAATAGGTCTAGGCAAAGTACCGAAAATTAGGTACAGTGGTATAGCGGCAGATAGGAGCGGGTGCAGGCTGGGATAAGAGACACACAACCCCATGCACGAATTTCATGCACCAGGCCTCTAGTATTTAAATAATAAGAAACTTCTATTATATTTTTTCTGATACATTTACTATCTTTGGTGTTTTCCATTTCTTGGCATAGTTCATTATTTGTATCTGGTAAAATTTTATTTCTTCTTGCAGGACTTCTTTTAACTTTTTTTTTTTAATAAATCTTTATTGTTCAGATTATTACAATTGTTTCTTCTCCCCCCCCCCCCCCATAGTTCCCCTACACCCAGTCCCCACCCCACCCTCTGCCCTTACCTCCCCCCACATCCTTATTCATAGGTATATGATTTTTGTCCAGTCTCTTCCCATACCCCCCACACAAACACACCTTTCCCCCTGAGAATTAGCAATCCCCTCCCATTTTATGCCCCTGATTCTATTATATTCACCAGTTTATTCTGTTCCTCAGATTTTTAATTCACTTGAATTTAGATTCACTTGTTGGTAGATATGTATTTGTTGTTCATAATTTTTATCTTTACTTTTTTCTTCCCCCTTTCCCCCCTCTTTTTAAAGAGCACCTTTTAGCATTTTATGTAACACTGGTTTGGCTTTTTCTGATCTGTGAAGCTTTTTATCTGACCTTCAATTCTGAATGATAACTTTGCTGGGTAGAGTAATCTTGGTTGTAGGTTCTTGTTATTTATCACTTTAAATATTTCTTGCCTCTCCCTTCTGGCCTGCATAGTTTCTGTTGAGAAATCAGCTCATAATCTTACGGCTGCTCCCTTGTAGGTAACTGTTTTTATCTTGCTGCTTGTAAGATTCTCTCTTTGACTTTTGCCCTTGGCATTTTAATTATGATGTGTCTTGGTGTGGTCCTCTTTGGATTCCTTTTGTTTGGGGTTTTGTGCACTTCCTGGACTTGTAAGTCTATTTCTTTCACCAGGTGGGGAAGTTTTCTGTCATTATTTCTTCAAATAGGTTTTCAGTATCTTGTTCTCTCTCTTCTTATGGCACCCCCATAATTCTGATGTTGGTACATTTGAAGTTGTCCCAGAGGCTTCTTACACTATCTTCAACTTTCTGGATTCTCTTCTCTTCTTGCTTTTCCGGAAGAGTGTCCTTTGCCTCTTTGTATTCCAAATCTTTGACTTGATTCTTACATTCTTCTAGTCTGCTGTTGGGTCTGTGTATAATATTTTTTATTTCAGACAGTGTATGTTTAATTTCTAGTTGGTCCTTTTTCATATCCTCAAAGGTCTCATTAAATTTATCAGCCTTTTCTAGGAAATTCTTGAAAAACCTTATAACTGTGGTTTTGAACTCTATATCCAGTCTTTTGTTCTCCTCTATTTCTTTTGTTTGAGTTCTCTTTCCTTTTCTCGGCATTTTCGATGCTTCCCTGAGTTGGTAGGGTAGCTTTGTGGGCATGGGTGTCCTATATGGTTCAATAGGTCAGCCTCCCAGTTTCCTGATATGGACACTCTTGGTGCACCCCTTTGTGGACTGTGTGTTCACCCTTGTTGCAGTTAAGTCTTGATTGTTGTTGGTGTCACTGGGAGGAATTGACCTCCAGGCCAATTGGCTGTAAGGACCCACTGTGTCTATAATGGAGGAATTTCTGTGCTGGAGACATATTTATGGGGCAGGACTTGTTCCAGTGGGGCTTTGGTGCTCACTGAGTCTGCCTCTTGAATGTGTCCCTTATGAGAGTAGTTGAAATCTGGTGTCATCTCACACAAACCACTAGATACACTACTTTCTGGATCTCCAATGGGGTGCAGGTCAGCTACTGTTTGAGGCCACCCAACCGGAGCTACAGCAAGAACTACAGTTTTCTCTTCTTTGCTTGGGGTTTGGAGGTTTTAGAGCTGTCAGACCAGAGCTGCAGATTGTTTGGTTAAGCTGTAATAGGGCAGGCCATTTATATGCAAATGCCACTATGTGGAACTTGATGGGTTTGTAGATTGTATGGAGCGGAGTCTCAGGGAGTCACTAGGCTAGGGCGTGGCAAAAAGCAATGACTGCCAGTCAGCCATCTCTGCCTTTCCCCGTTTCCTAGTCTTCACATCCCGTGCTCCAGCGCAGTAAACAATGATTGCTGGGCGCACCTCTGCAAGAAAGTCACTCTCACTTTCCGACCTGATGGCCAACAATCCAACTTTTCCCCGTAGGTGTCTGGGTCCCCCGGGTCTCCCCAGAAACTGGATTTCAGAGTAATCAGGAGCTTGTCTCCCTTCGGGTTGGAAAAAAGCAGTGTGCCCAGTCGCCCGCCACCAGCCCGATTTGCGTGCCTTCGTACCTCAGCTTTACAGTGCTTGTGCTCTTTTATCTTTTCTTCTAGTTGTAGAACTTCCACTCAGCCAGCTTTCCTGTAGTTCTGGGTGATAGATGTTTTTTCTTTTAGTTGTAGTTTTGAAATTGTTATGCAAGGTGGTAGTTTAGTTGTTTATCTATGCCGCCATCTTGGTTTCTCTAGCATAGCTTTTCTTTTTTCTTTTTTTAAAAATATATTTTATTGATTTTGTACAGAGAGGAAGGGAGAGAGATAGAGAGTTAGAAACATCAATGAGAGTCATCGATCAGCTGCCTCTTGCACACCCTCTACTGGGGATATGCCTGCAACCAAGGTACATGCCCTTGACCAGAATCGAACCCGGGACCTTTCAGTCCCCAAGCCGACGCTCTATCCATTGAGCCAAACCGGTTTCAGCAGTAGCATAGCTTTTCTATTGCTTATGTTAGAAATTCCTTTTATACTTAATATTTGTTTAATTACTTGATAAGTTAGTTCATTTGTAGATGACTTCCTTGTTAAATTTGATCATTTCATTTTCATGATAGTTTACAGAACTAGCTGTCTAGAGTAGTACTGTTCAGTAGACTTTTCTGTGATAGAAACATTGTCTGATATAAACATTGTCTGTAATGTCCATTAGAGACACACCTTGCCACATGTGACTAGTATACACTTGAAATGGTCATCAAGGCAGTTGAGAAACTGAAGGTTTAATTCTTCTTAATTATAAACGACTTAAATTTTAAAAAGTCTCATGTTGCTAGCAGTTACTATATTATACAGCACAGATATACCTACTTTATGTTCATTTAGTTTTCCAAGTTGTTCTAAGTTTATTTTCTAGGTAAAGTGTTCTGATTTCACCAACAGTGTAAGGTAAGACTCTGAAACCTATGGTCAAGAAAATGAGCTAATTCTAAAAATTAATTTATTAGAGTTTATAGATGTTTACTGAATTATGTAGAAAAGATCACAAAACCAATTTTTATAGAATTATGTTCAATTAAATAATTTTCAATTGTAATAAAAGTATTTTTGTTTGATTTTTTACATTTATATGAAACTTTAAGTTGCTGTATTAACATATCACAAATCATTTCTCCTTATTTCCAAAGGCAGTTTTATTCTAAGGCGAAACCTATGATCTAATGCTCATGAACTAATGCTCATTTTAATGTTGGTCCATGTAAAGTTTTTGTTCATTTTTAAATAGCTGATTTAGAAGAAAGTTTTAATGAACATGAACTGGAGCCCTCATCACCTAAAAGTAAAAAGAAAAGTCGCAAAGGAAGGCCACGAAAAACTAATTTTAAAGGGCTGTCGGAAGATACCAGGTCCACATCCTCTCATGGAACTGATGAAATGGAAAGTAGTTCCTATGTAAGTAGAAAAATGCTTTATTCTTACTTTTTGTTGCACTATGAATATTTCATTTAAATTGTGTTTATAGAAAAAATTCATCATTTGAAATGTTAACTAAGCTTGAGGTTACTAATAGCATACTTCTGTGGATTTTAAAAAATGTTTCTTTTTCTTTTATATTTGCAGAGAGATAGGTCTCCACACAGAAGCAGCCCTAGTGACACCAGGCCTAAATGTGGATTTTGTCATGTAGGGGAGGAAGAAAATGAAGCAAGAGGAAAGCTGCATATATTTAATGCCAAGAAGGCAGCAGCACATTATAAGTGTATGGTAAGCATAGTTCATTTTATATGCTTTTAAACCCAAGTTTTTTGAAAAGCATTTAGCTAGTAACCAACTATGGCACTTTCCCCCCAGCATTACTATTTTATAATTATGAATAGTACTAGATGGGGGGTCACTCAACTCAGCCTGCACCCTCTCACAGTTTGGGACCCCTCGGGAGATGTCCACCTGCCGATTTAGGCCCTTTCCCTGCCATCGCCGCTGAGCTAAAGAGCAGCGAACCCGACTTCTGGCTGAGCAACGCTCCCCCTATGGGAGTACACTGACCACCAGGGAGCAGCTCCTGCATTGAGCGTCTGCCCCTTGGTGGTCAGTGTGCGTCATAGCGACTGGTCATTCTGCTGTTTGGTCAATTTGCATATTAGGGTTTTATTATATAGGATATCCTATAGTCCCACATCTTCATAACTCAGATTTTAAAAAATATGTAGCTTCTATAATTTAGTAGGATTTAAATCAATTCTGATTATACTTACCATACCAGGGAGCAGCTCCTGCATTGAGCGTCTGCCCCTTGGTGGTCAGTGTGCGTCATAGCGACTGGTCATTCTGCTGTTTGGTCAATTTGCATATTAGGGTTTTATTATATAGGATATCCTATAGTCCCACATCTTCATAACTCAGATTTTAAAAAATATGTAGCTTCTATAATTTAGTAGGATTTAAATCAATTCTGATTATACTTACCATATTCTAGATAATCTATAATTGACTAAAAACTCAAACTTTCAACTTTATAAACTTGTTATAAAAGATATGTTCAGTCTCCACTATAACCAAGTAAATGCCTCTTATTGTATTTTATACACTATATTGCAGCTATTTATGAATCTCTCTTCCATAATAGACACTTAAATTCTTTGTGCATAAGAACTGTATCTTATCGTTGCATCCTTAGTTATAGGTCTGAAATATAAATATACATAAATGTTTATTATTTAGATAGATTGTGTTGAATTATTTATCCCATTTATGATTAGGTTCTAAAAAATGTATTATTTAAACCAGATGTTCTTAACTTGACATGCATATTAAATTTACCTGGGGAGTTTATTCCAAAATATGTATCTCTGGAGTAGATCCCAAACATGTTTGGGGGAAAGAGATCCCCAGGTAATACTGATCTGCATCTATAGATGAAATTTGCCAATTTAAACTATTTCTTAAAACTTCGTGGAAATGTAACAGTTGAGATGACAGCGTGACACTGTTGAAATCTACCTTGTTTAATGAAGTATTTGAACTTGGCTCCATACTGGCAACGTTGGTTTTATTTCATTCTTTTTATTTTGGGTTATATTTCAAGCAGACAGTAATATATTAAAAATATTTGAATCAATAATTTATTATTAAGGAAAACTCTTTCTCAGGACATTGAAGTAATGTAACACATCTATTTCTTACTATGTTTAGTCTTTTTCTAAAAAGGATTTTGAATTTTTTTTATTTTGAATATTAAATGTTCTTGCATTTTTTCTTCTAGTTATTTTCTTCTGGCACAGTCCAGCTCACAACAACATCAAGAGCAGAATTTGGAGATTTTGATATTAAAACTGTTCTACAGGAGATTAAGCGAGGAAAGAGAATGGTCTGTGGTTTTATATTCTATGCAACCTTTCTCTTCTATTGCTCTGCTTTAAATATAGAACACTTCCAAATTTATCCAGCCATAAAAAGATTAATATAAAGTAGTCCACATGTTAAAGCACAGTATCTATTTGACTTATTTGTAATATAATAAAGGATGCTGATGTTACTGAATCTTATTCCTTTTTCTATGTAACTTCATTCCTTAATAGAATTATGAGATTTATATTTCAGGGTATTTGAGAGTCTTAATAAAAAAAATGAGGTGAATGTAATGCTATTTATTAAGTTTAAAATGTTAATATTGTTTAAGCTTGCCTAAAGAAAAATTCCAAAACCCCAATAGAGCATTGAGAACCGCCTCATGTTGTTATTCTTCCTTTTTTTTTATAAAAGGAAAAGAGTTTTTTCAGAGCCTTCTGTTTAAGTTAAAGTTCACATACATAGTATGTTTCTTAAAATGTTTATCAAAGCTTTAAAGTTTTCTTTAAAAAGTGCCTAAGTCTCATGTTTTTAAGCATACTGAATTACTAATAAATAGCATTAGGAAATATCGGCATCTTTATTCATCATTACTTTACAGTTTATGAATATTATAAAATATCAATGGAATGCAAAAATCTCTTCTTTAAGACAGCAATTACCTCTAGAAATGACTAATTTTTGAAATATTTTTAATTGTGAAAATTTTCAAACATATCAAAATTAGAAAGATTAGTAACACACGTCTGTCCATCACCTTGACTCATCAGTTATCAAGAATTTGCGGCACTCGTTTCATCTATGCCTTTTAATCTTGTTGCTTGAAGTATTTCAAAGCAGAGCTGAGACTTGATATCATTTCACCTCTACATATTTCAGTATGTATCTCTTAAAAGTTGGACATTTTCTTACCTAACCACAATGTCATTATTCTTTATAAATTAACAATGAGTCCTCAGTGTCATTTAATACCTAGTTGTCTCAAAAAATCTTTTTAAAGTTCATTTGTGTTAATAAGAAACCAAAGGAGTCTCATACATTACATGTGGTTTTTATATATTCCTTCAGTGATCCAGGGAACACCCTCCTCCCTGTCTTTGTTGTTTCTGGTTTTGTTTTGTTGTATGCCATTGACTTGTTGAAGAAACTTAATTGATTGTCTTGTAGATTATCCCACATGCTTTTATTTGTCTGTTTGCTTTTTCATGATGCCATTTAACTTGTGTCTCTATTCGCCAGATTTTCTTTTAAAATGAAGTTAGATGTAAAGTCTTGATTAGACTCAGTTTCAGCATTTTGGGGGGTAAGAATACTTTACAGGTGGTACTATATCGTCCATATTTTATCATATCAGACAACTCATAATGTCTGATCTTTGGATTCAGGCAGTGAATCTGATCCCTTCGTTTTGAAATTCCTCTTCAGTCTTTCACCTAGTGGTTTCACCTAGTGGTTTCAAATACTGATGATCTTTGTCTAAATCCACTAGGAATGACCATTTGTTTGGGGAATTATACTTTTGAAGTTTAATCCACACTTTTGAAGGTGTGAAGACTGTTGATGTTCTCTCTTCCATTTAAATCCATTTCAGTTTATACTTCAATTACACTTTTAAAAATGAAACTCCTTTAAAAACAGAATGTATAGGCTAAAAAAGGGGGAATCATTTAATCATATCATGCATAGCAGTGTTGTTGTGTCATATAGCTAAAGTCTAAATAGGTGACTGGGATAACAATTCAGTTTTTTTGATCACCTTATTTACCTCTACACTGTTGAATATTAGTGCAAGCAATAACCTAGCATTTCACCAAGTGTGCACCAATGGAAATTAGCCCATCAAGATTCTTCCCTAGCCCTCCAAAAATAAGAGAGTCTCTGGAGTTCAGTAAACTTGGGAACTGTTTACTATACCCTCCTTCCTGGAGAAAACATTGTGAGAAGTCCTTCCAGAAACAATCTGTTTAAAACTAACATTTCTCAAATTTCTTTGACTGTGACATCCTTTTGTCATTAGTCAACTTTTAATCTCTAACATTCTTTTTTTTATATATATAGCAAAGGTGGAAATTTATTGAAGAACAAGTATAGACTCCCACGTGTGGAAAGGGAAAGAGTCCCCTAATCTCTAACATTCTTGAGACAAATCTGATCTAGGCCGGATCGAGGTCTTGAAAAGATTTCAGCCCCTTCAGTCTCTAGTCTCTGTGCTTTTGCCTACTTGTTAGCAATTCCTTTCTGGGGGAATTGCTTCCCTGTCTTCTCATTCCATAATAGGAAAGGAGCTGATCTCAGGGAAGAAAAGGAGCCGACCACTAAAATATAGAATACCATTCTTTTTGTGTTTGGCAGTATTAAGTGTCTAATTTATGTTTGTATGTCATATCTCTAACAGGATGACTTAATATTAGAAAGTCTATCAAAGTATGGTTGAAATTACTGCATTATTTGATATATTGCTATATAATAAGTTCAGTGCATTACTTTTTAATAGAAAATTGGCTGATTTCTTTGTTAGCTGGAATGTTTGGCTGAAATATGGCTAAAATAGAAAAAAAATGTGATTGCATAGACTTGGAAATACTGCTTATGATTATTCTTTCTCTTCCCTTAAACAGAAATGTACACTTTGCAGTCAGCCCGGTGCTACTATTGGATGTGAAATAAAAGCCTGTGTTAAGACTTACCATTACCACTGTGGAGTACAAGACAAAGCTAAATACATTGAAAATATGTCACGAGGAATTTACAAGTAAGAGAACAATTGTTCATTTTCCATTGTCAGTAAGTAACTGCCCTTAAACAGATGGCATTTAGTTTACTTAATCATTATTTTATTTTTATTTTTATTTTTTAAATATATTTTATTGATTTTTTACAGAGAGGAAGGGAGAAGGATAGAGAGTTAGAAACATCGATGAGAGAGAAACATCAATCAGCTGCCTCCTGCACACCCCCTACTGGGGATGTGCCCACAAGCAAGATATATGCTCTTCACCAGACTCAAATCCGGAACCTTTCAGTCCACAGGCCAATGCTCTATCCACTGAGCCAAACCAGTTTCGGCCTAATCACTATTTTACGTGGTATTTAGCAAAGTATAGAATACTGAGGACTCTATATAAGAAATGAGTACTGCAAATAGCATTTTCCTCTAACTATACATCCCTGAATTAGCCTTCATTCAACTTGTTTTTATTATGATTACTATGTGCCAGCCATTGTACCAGGATTTGAGCTTACAAAAGTGATCAAAATAGATATGGATTGTGCCTTCATGAAGCTTATAGTCTAGTGAGAGAGACATATTAATTCAGTGGCCACATGCTAAGTATACAATTACAAACTACATAAGTACTTTAAAGGGTACATTACCAAGCACTGTGAGAATACATAACAAGGAGGACCTTACCTAGCTCAGAGTGTTTAGGAATTTCCTTAAGACACAGTGCTTGAGCTGAGATATGAAGGGTGAAAATGAATGTGGGGGTGTTGGGAAAGTGTTGTAGGCAGAGAGTGGTACAGAAGCAAGAATACAAATGGGGAGGTGAGTTAGGCTACTGCTGAGGGTCCAGGTGACAATTGTTGGGAGCTTAGAATAGGATAGGGTTATGAAGATACAAATCAAAAGACACTCAGAAGAATGATGAAAGAGTAAACTTTGGCGGTTTGAGATTATAAGCTACCGTCTTTTTTATGGGTCTTCCATGTGCTGCATTGGGCTAGTGCAGAGGTCGGCAAACTCATTACTCAACAGAGCCAAAATATCAACAGTATGACGATTGAAATTTCTTTTGAGAGCCAAATTTTTTAAACTTAAACTTCTTCTAATGCCACTTATAGACTCGCCCAGGCCATGGTATTTTGTGGAAGAGCCACACTCAAGGGACCAAAGAGCTGCATGTGGCTCACTAGCCGCAGTTTGCCTGCCACGGGGCTAGTGTTATCAATGTGCATCTATAATGGTTCCATGTATTTAATTGAATGGGGAATAAGTTGGTAGGGATCCCTGAATTTTATTTGCCTGTGCAAATTATAAAGCATTTCCTTACTCTAACATTCTCAGTATGCAATGAACCAGTGACTTGGGGCCTACTCTTCTGTGTACAAAACAATTTACATAAGCAATCACCGTGTCATTTGAGTTTCTGCATGAGGTGCTAATGCTGTATTATAAAATTTGCAAAACCTTGTTTAATAATAAAGGCACAGATGATTTTCAAGTGAGTTTTATAAAGCCTTTATGGAACAAGTAATTCCAGTATTATTTAAAGAGGTCCACCTGGCACAGAGCAAAAGATGGAAAACCTCTTGGTTCATTCTGTGAAACTTGCATAATTGTGGCACCAAAATTGACAAAAATAACATTTAAAACAAAACAGAAACTATAGACCCGTCTAATTTTATAAATATATATACCAAAATCCTAAGTAAAATATTATAAAATCAAGTGCTGTATTCTAACAATTTAAAGACTGTTCAAAATTAGGCAGTATATTAATGTGGTCCATTATAATTAATAAAGAAAAATCTTTATCACCTCCTTATAGTGAAAGGACATTTGCTACCATTTAATGTCCATGAATTTTAAAGTTAACAAGAGTGCTATTGATAAGCTAGGAATCTTAATAGAGTGTTTATGAGAAAACAACAGCAACTAGCTTATTTAGTGTTAAAGGGACAATGGTCCTTATTCATGGTTGCGCCTCAGAATCACCTCGGGGAGGATAGGGCCCTCTTTAGAAATGTTCTTTGCCTGGACCCCATCCTCAAAGATTTAAATTCAGTAGGCAGAGACCCAAACTATGTATTTTTATGACTCCCCATGTGATTTTCATGTTCATCTCTAATTGAGAACCACTATACTATCATACTTTCATTCAGATCAGGAACAAGACAAGGTGCCAACTACCAACATTGTTTTCAGTGTTCTTCTGGAGGGTTAAGCCAATTTAGCAAGAATAGGAAGGAAAACGTATTGATATAATAAATATTGTGAAGGAGAAAAGCTGTCGGTGTTTTTGATGCCATTATCTTCAAGAAAATACGAAGGAATCAATTCTGAATTTATTAAACTTAATTCCTCAGTAAGGCTAATGCATATGAGGTGAATTTTTAAAAACAATTGCAATAATAACTAGTTAGATATGTAAAAGAAATAGCCATGAGTTGGTTATAAGCATGTGAAAAACTGTTAACCTTATTAGTAATTAAGGTAATGCAAATTAAAACAAGATCTTAGCAATTTTTGCTTATCAGATGGGCAAAGATTAGTAGAATTCATATTAGCTAATGTTAGCTAGGTTCTAGAGACCCAGGCATTCTCAAGGGATGTTCAGGTAGAAAGTAAATTGGTTCAACTTTTTAGGAGAGCAGTTTATCATTGGAGACCAAATCTTGAAATAATGCATTTGCTACTAGACTATTTGTAGGGATTTTTCTCAGGGAAATGAACAGACAATATAGTACAAAGATAAATGTGCAAGAGTGTCATTGTATTATTGTTAATGATTACTGCCATATCCACTAGAGCATTTTAGAATCAACTATACTAAGGACTGACCAGGTTCCCATAGGTGGCTTCAATCTACTCAAGACAGGAACTGTAGCATGCCAGCAGGGTAGCATCAAATATTCCACTTCTGTGGGAGTCCTTGCAGTAGTCAGAATAGCAGTACAGCTCAGGACTAATAAGATCTGATCCAGCCAAAACCGGTTTGGCTCAGTGGATAGAGCGTCAGCCTGAAAGGTCCCAGGTTCGATTCTGGTCAAGGGCATGTACCTTGGTTGTGGTCACATCCCCATTAGGGGGTGTGCAAGAGGCAGCTGATTGGTGATTTTCTCTCATCAATGTTTCTGACTCTCTTCCTTTCTGTGAAAAATCAATAAAATATATTTTTAAAAAATAATAATGGCAGCTATTAAAAAAAAAAAAAAAAAAAAGACCTGATCCACAGGGAGTGGGCATGGGATCCACCACCTTGCCTTAAAAGCCTCAGACCCCATCATAGCCAGTGCCTCTTATAAGTTATATAGGCATAGGTAATTTTCAGGTTATATCATAAAGAGAACCAAAGATAGCTTCTTATCAGAATATTTATAATTCTCCCAATGATGATAGGGTCTACCAATTTGAGGGTAACATAGCTTAGTAAAATAATTGACACCCATCCATTTCTTTAAAGTTGCCAGAGGAACAGAGGCAGAGAGTTAACCAAAGGTGAAATTTTCATGCAGAATGGGAAAAGATTTTTTGTCAATCTTTTATCCTCAATAGCAAAATAAACCAGAATGTTCATTAGGAGACTTAATAAATTTTAGTTCATGCATTTAGTGGAATACTATGCAGCAGTTAAGAAATGAAGTAGCTCCATGCATAGAATTGTGAAGAGGTATTTCTGTGATAGAATAAGGGGGGAAATAAGTTGTAGGTGTGTACAATATATGTGTATATTTTCATATACATAGAAAAATTTGTTTATTCAGTAAACAGTTGTTACCTCTCATTCATTGCAGAGGGATGGAGGTGAAGAGGCAATTTTATATTCTCTTTTATACTGTGGTATTTGAATAGTTTTATGAGTAATACATCATTATTTAAAGTAGCCATTAATATTTTAACATAACAGACCCATTTAAGCATCTAAAATTCGATATATGGAGAATTTGTATGTTTAAATTTTAATTTTATTTAGGTATTTTTTATTATAAGAGTTATCTGTTTTTATTTTGGGGAAGAAATGAAAAATATAGGTAAGGAGAAACATTTAATGTCAACTTTAATTCTATCACCAGAAATAACAATTTTAAATCTTGGAATACTTTCTTCAGACATTTGTGTGATCATAAATATGTGTATATTTGTTTTTTTTTTTAATATTTTATTATACTGTTTTATAAAATCTCTTTTTCACTTACTATCCCCATGACGTTTTTTTCTGTGACATTAGTTTTACATCACTATTTTAATGGTTGCATGATATTCCATTGCATTGATATATCAGATTGTTTAATCAACTCCTTTCTTATAGACATTTATTTAGTTTATACTTTTTAACTATTAGAAAACCATGTTGCAGAGACCATCTCTAAACAAAAATATTTGCACTAGGATCCATGATGATTTGAATGGCTCTTTTTTATTTTTTTTACATTTAAATGTATTTCTAAAATCTGCTTATAATGTGGATTCCAGATTATTTTATCATAGAGACCATTGAGTTCAAATGATAGTCCATATGTATATAGTACTTTAGGGAAAGAAGCGTAGGCAAATGGGAAATACAAGGAGGAATATTTCTGAATGAAATGTCTTCATTCTATGTAGCTTGTTTTAACCAGCCTTTTCTGGATCCTGAATATATTCATATTTAAAAGGCAAGGGAAAATAATATAGTTGCCGGGGCTAACCAGCAGACCCTGAGTGATGGATGAATAATTACTCTGACACACATTTCTGTGAAAGAGAGGGCTAAGGGACAGCCTGGTTAAAGAAACCAGACATCCCCGTTCACCTGCCTCCTTAGGCTTTTACTGTAGCAACAGCTTGAACTAAAATTAACTTCTAGATGCTATTAGCAGGGTAAATATCATTAAGAAAACACATACATCTGCAGTGTCCTTTAAGCAAGAACGTCTGGAGTCTAAACATAAAGATTCCAGTAAAACACCAGAGGCTCAGGCTTATTTGGAAAAGTCAAGGCAGGGTCTGCCACTTTTGGCCAGGTTCCCCTAGGGGCCTCCAACCTTTCG